TCATCCATCAGGCCCAGCGGATTTATTTCCATTGACAGCATTTAACTTCTCTGAAACTTGATCTGTTTTGACAGACGCGGGAAGGGGACTTTGTGTTTGGACTCAGCAAAGCTTGCACAGCGTTTTTTCACTGAAGCAAAAGATTTGTTGAGCTCATTGATATCACATGAGACTGTAGTAGGTAAAGTTGAACGACCACAGAGCAACTTTAGTCCGTTCCATAGCTCACGGCAAGATTTGTCTCCTAGCTATCTCGCTTCTGATATGAAAGTTGACAGATTTGACCGTCAGTTTATCAGCCTAAGTAAACATTTTAGTCTATCACAGATGAAGTGATTGGGTTGTAGGTGAATCCTTTCGTGAGGGCAGCACAAATCATAACAATGGTTGAAATCGTTGGTAAGGTTCTCACAGAAGACTAAAATATCAGGATCGGAAAGTAGTTGTAAGTCCGTGCCAAAAACCACGGATTCAAATTCCATCAAATTGGCCACATGATTTTTTCTTATACGTATCTTACTTGGATTGTTCTTCCTCAGGATTTGTTGTTTGCATTTACCATATATTGTAGGTAAAACACTTTAAGTAAACAGCTACCAGAATGGACTACCGGTGCACGTTTGAAGCCATGAGACAAAATTTATTAACGAAAAAAACTGGTCTAAGGAGACATTATTAGTATTGGGAAAATGAACAACGTTCTGAAGAGAGATGTGTGTAAAAACTAATATCTGATCTGTTGAAATCATCAGCAACGATGAAAACAGATGTAACAGACTTCTCCAACATAATTGGTTAATACAAGAAGGTAGACAACTCACTAGGATAGAGATTTGAAATGTTCGACGAATAGTGCAAAAGAAAACGCGACTAACGCTCCACAGAAATACAAGGAATGTTTGCGCACAGTGAGTAAATATGCATTTGTTTGTATTACATCACGATCGGCGCACATATGTGATGACACCGCCACTTTAGTTTTCCTCCTGGTGATCCAGCTGCACAAAATAAATACAAGCCCTACATCTGAACCAATTCGTCCTCGATCGATTCTTGTAGCCAAGCTTCTTGTAAAAGTAGCATAGAACTTTTGGAGTTGTGAATCTGAAGACTTATATCAGATAATTTTGAGCGAATGGAGCAGACATTCGACAACAAAATGATGGGAAAACCAGTGCGTATCAGGCTTCTGTGCCAAAGTACAACTTTCAAGCCAGCGTGATGTACTCCCCGTTTACCAATTGAATTTCTGGTTATTCTTTTAACCTTATTTCTCACACAAGAGCAAAATCACGTAAGGAAGAGTCGCGGATAATTTCTACGAATACTCGTATGAAAATTAAACTGAGCGCGTTTTAGTTAATCATTAAGAGCATAGTAATTAATACGAAAGTATCTCCAAAGGTAATATGTAATAGAAAAAATATAAAATCTCCAGCGATAACAAAAATGAGAGCGACCAACACACCGGGTTCCGGTTGAACACAGACAAACAAACACCGAATCCGTACATGCATGGATGGCGAGCTTTCCATCAAAGTTGAATTCTCGT